GAGAGTTGCCATGGCTCCTGCAATGCTGTGACCTACGTCTCAACCGCTGAAGACATGCAACTGGATAACTTTTTAACACTAAGATAAATTTGTGTTTCAATTCAAGAAGTATATGGCTCAAGTATCCCTTACAAGGCGATCGCTGCCAGAAACTGGTTAATAGTTACCCAATTAATGGGGAACTGATCTACACGCTTTGAGAAAGGTGGGATCTACAACCAAGGGGAATGATCATTGGCTTTGGCATTCACTTGAGAGGCAAACACTTACCTTATTTATTATAATATTATGTATAATAAGGCCATATAATTAGATCTGAAGGCCCTAAGAAGGTTATACGTAATGTACTCATTCTCTAATCTGATGCTGCACTGCGCTCATCTGGCATGTCGGCGACAATCACAGGCGTCGTGTTGATTAGAAGTCGGTTGTTTGGAAGGTTCCTAAGGAGCCATGGGGGTTATATGAGCTCGGGGCCCATGACATTCGTGCCGATGTGCGGGCCGTTTATCAAATTTGTGCAAAGCCACTGCGTGTCAGGAAGGGGCCCGGTTTGTTCCTGATGACTGTAGTCGATTCTCGTCAGCTGCTGAATCGTCACCACGTTGGGCTACAAGCGCCCTTCTGCACTTCTGCGCCCCCTGTGTCTACGTGACCCGACCACCTTATCCTCACGGCGCCCAATTACAGTTTTGCCATGTTCTTTATGTTCCACTACCACTAGCTTGTTTCTTGTTGGCTGTTATTGGTCGAGCAGTTTATTTGGAATTCTCGTGCCTGCTCATGACTTTGCGATAATTCGCAGGAATGCGACTGCTTCTGCGGCAGGTGACAGTTCACGGTATCCTCTTGGATGAGGTCATCATGGAGCATGACACGCCCCGCGTAAAAGAGCTGTGCGCACGCGTAGGCGAATTGCTGAAGAGCGGAATTGTGCGACCTGTGCAGACGGAGGTTTTCTCCCGCGACCAAGTGGAGACTGCGTTGAGGTGAGAGTAAATGAGAATGTATGATTAATCAAAAATTAAGAAAATAGTTTCCAATTATACGTCACTGTGTTTTAAACGCTTTGTATAGCGCGTCTGCATTGTAGTTTCTGGCAATAAATTGAAAATATAATAATAATAATATAATAATTTATTTATTATTGTTATTTTATTTATTATTATTAATTAGTTGTGTTCATCTTCAGTACTAAGTAACAATTACAAACTAGATATTAGATCGAATAACTGTACAATAATACTTTTTAACATTATGTATTCTGTTAATAAGGGTCAAAACGTATTAGACAACAAAAATCGTCTGAAGAATAATTGTACTCTTAGAATGAATGTTTATATAATTTTTAAACACGAACGGAACTAATTTTTCACGAGTGAAATATCGTCGCCGAAGTAGCGTGGGATGGAAAACGTGTTAACAGCATTAGTTTCGATGCTCCACTAAAAAACTCTTGCAGGCACATGGCGGCGGGCAAGCACATCGGGAAGGTGGTGATCCGAGTGCGGAGAGCGAGGAGAGCGCGCCACGCCCTTCTCCAAAGCCCTCACGCTGCGCCGCGCCGCCCCCGCCGCTTCTACTGCCAGCGGACCTCCTACGTGGCTTGTGGGTGAGTGCATGGGCGGGAGGGGGGGGCGGCGGGGGGGGGCATGCGCTCATGCGACGCCGTGTGCGCAGGCGGGCTGGGCGGCCTGGGGCTCGAGCTGGCGCACTGGATGGTGCAGCGCGGCGCGCGCCACCTGGTGCTGGTGTCGCGGCGCGGCGTCACCACGGGCTACCAGGCGCGCCGCCTGCAGCAGTGGCGCGCCAAGGGCGTGCGCGCGCTCGTGCGCACCGACGATGCCTCCACGCGCCGCGGCGCAGAGGCGCTGCTGCGCGCCGCGGGCTCCGTCGCGCCCGTCGCCGCCATCTTCAACCTGGCCGTGGTGCTGCGCGACGCGCTCTTGGAGAACCAGACGGCGGCGGCGTTCGCCGAATCGTTCCGCTGCAAGGCGACGGCGGCGGTGCAGCTGGACGCGGCGTCGCGCCGCCTGTGCCCGCGCCTGCGCCACTTCGTGCTGTTCTCGAGCGTGTCGTGCGGGCGCGGCAACGCGGGCCAGACCAACTACGGGCTGGCGAACGCGGTGATGGAGCGCGTGGCGCGCGCGCGGCGGGCGGCGGGGCTGCCGGCGACGGCGGTGCAGTGGGGCGCCGTGGGCGACGTGGGGCTGGTGGCCGACATGCGCGACGACGACCGCGTGCTGGAGATCGGCGGCACGCTGCAGCAGCGCCTCACCTCGTGCCTCGACGTGCTGGACGGCTTCCTGGCGCAGACGCACGCCGTCGTGGCGTCCATGGTGGTGGCGGAGAAGC